GGTGACAAATGACGTGCAAGAGGCCAGGGTACTCAGTGCCTTTGTTGCTCAGTCATTACTGATGAGACTTGCTTTCAGAATCCCAGGCCCATGAGGTCAGTGGAAAAATAGGGAGCAATGAAGACTTACCCTTGGTGTGAAGGAGGATCAAATAAAGGGACATTTAAATAAACTGAACATACACAAGTCCATGGGACCTGATGGGATGCACCCACAAGCGTTGAGGGAGCTGGCTATCACTGCAAGGCCACTCTTGATTAACTTCTTTGGAAGGTCACAGTGATTGGGAGAGTTTCCTAAGGATTGGAAGAAAGTAAATGTCACCACTGACTTCAGAAAGGGCAAGAAGTGGGATCTGAGGAACTGCAGGTTGAGATGCCTCACCTTGATCCTTGGGAAGATGATGGAGAATAAAATCCTTGAAGCTATTTTCAAACATTTTGTGGACAAAAAGGTGATTGGGAGTAGTCATCACGGAGTTATGAAGGGGAAATAGTGCTCAGTGTCCAGATATGATCAAGTGGTAACAATTCAATACATGAATACGAAATGGGACATATAAACAGCTATTTACTAATGTCTAGTCAAGAAAAATTAGATTCAAACTTCTCACACTGCACTGCTGCAGAACTTTCAAATCAACAGCTGAAAATTACTCTTTTTTTAATTCAGTTTTGCTAGGAAAAATAGTAAGGCAGTGGTGTATGCAGTTTGGTAATGTACATTTAGTGTTGTTCTGTATCAGTTAAACAACCTGCCATGTATCTGTGGTGCTGCACTTGCTGCTTCTGAGTTGTTTCTGCCTTGTAAGAGCAGAGAGACTCTGCCCTGACATTCCAACAGCAGACTGCTTAAGGACTTCCTTCCCAGCTACTTCCCGCTACTCTTCCCATAATTATCCTGACTCAGTTGTTACGGTTCCAAATAAAAATTCTGAAACAGTATGTTTGGAGAAGGCCCTCTCTTCTCCTTCCTTTTCCCCCATATAAAATGAGTAGCATCACAGATTTGGCTTGGGGCATGGTAATAGAACTGAATGCATTGACACAAATGAGGGAGCAGTAACTTCTGGCCAGGTGGATGTGGGGGGATGAATGGGAAGGAGGTGGGAGGAAGGAAAAGAAAGAAAATGCAGTCTCTGAAATCATATTGCTACAACTGAAACCGTGTGAACTGGATGTGCTGGCACTACCTGAGCAATCACGCAGCCTTGCTGTTGGTTAGATTCTTGGTCATCTCCCTTAGTGAGTAGCTGGAGCCTTTGCCGTAACAAGCTGCTTTTGCAGGGTCTATAAAGGTACTATACTTGCTCTCTTCCAAAACCAGTCTGTAACTTTTATTATTCTGCTTAAAAAAAAGCTCTTTTCCTGTCAATTCACAAGTCTTTCTGCTTTCCAGAAAATGTTTCAAGTTTTGTGCATTTAACTCTAAAGACTCATTTCTAGAGTACCTCTGTAGGTGCTAAATGCTCTAAATCGAGGAAATGCTTGTTTAATATATTAGGGCTTGTCTGCCTAAGAAAATTAATCCAGGACAAAATAAGGTGTGAATTTTGAGGTGAGTGAAGAAATCCTGATTTAGCTGAGTATGTGGAGACTTTGTTCCAAGTTAGTGTAATCCACTTTAAGGTTCAAAACAGCTGCACGCTCTGAACCCAGAACATTGGCAGGAGGAGTTAGTAAGGAGCAAGTCTTTGTGTCAGTGACTTTGTGGTGTGTTTTCTTGTGATGCAGTGAAAGGGGATTGATTTCAGGCAGCTAATTGTTAAGGCAGCCCTCAGATCTGATCCCTCTGCTGAACTGTGGCAACAGTATCCCGGAGGAAAGAGAGCTGAAATGAATAGACTTGGAGAGAGCTGGCAGAGAGCTTCTTCCGAGTCAGTGACAGGGAACTTGGTAGCCCATCAGTGTGCATGTGGATGCTAACTAGGGCTGTTACAGCATTTTTTTCTAAACAAAATTAATCCAGGTTTGGAGCATGAGGAAAAGAAGCTTGTCTTGTAAATGCTGATATTTGTAATGCTTTCTTGTTCTTCCTAAATAAACCCACATGATGGGGAACAGTTCTCAGTTACAATTTTAACCGTTTTATGTAAATAAAACTTCATTGCCTGAAAATATTTGGCTCAGGATCAGAGTGTAGTCCCTCATAACCTGCATCCCTGTGGGCTGGTGCTTTCTTTTCAGTGATGAAAAATATATTACACTCTCCTGAAGTCAGGGTTCACCAATGCCATTTCCTTTGTAATCTTTGCTGGTCACACGGTCCTTTTTGTTTTAAATTAATAAAATCCTAAATCTGCATTCAAGAATAACAGTTAACAGACTCTTTCAATAGAAATTCAACCTTAGATTGTTTCCATATGGGATCTTTACTTAAAGCTCTGGCAAACTGTGCCCACGCTTTTGTTTTGTTTTTACCGAGGTCCAACTTCTGGGTTTGTCATTCCCCCAGATTTGCGTGTGGAAAGGTTCTTGCTGCCAGATATAACAAGCATGAGGGGCCATTGTTTAAGGAAACAAAAACTTGAACTACCCATCCAGGAAGGAAAAGCATGTAGGGATGTTAACCCCAGTCTGCCAAGTATTCTCAAGAGACAGGCATTTGACCCAGAATGTGTTAAAATTGGAGCATCAATGTTGACTTAGTGGCATTCTAAAGGAATGCTGGATGTACCTATCTGACTAAATTTGCAATTCAAGGGAATGCAGAATGCCAACCTTTGAGTTCAAAAATCACATTGGACTTGGAAGTCTTCTGACTTAATTTCTTTGTCACTTGCCCATATAAGATAATTAGTGTCACCTACTGCTGCACATTTGTCTGCAGCAGCTGATTTACTTCGTACTTTGCTCCAGGAGTGTTCTGTAGAGAAATGAATTGAAGTTTAGGGTTTGGCTTTTAACAAACCCTTATTGTGAACTGGTGTCTTATCAAAGAGATTGCAACATAAAGGAAGTATGATTAACTGAGAAGGGACTTTCCTCATTTCTTACACTAGCAGATGTTTGATCTCTGGTAAACTTCATAACACTTGCATTCAGGTCAAAACGGTGAAAAGTTTTTATTAGCTCAGTAGCAGTATTCTGAGCCATCCATTGCCTGAGTGTTGCCTTTGTGGCAACCTCAGTCAGTGGGACCTGTTTTCTAGAGAGAAAATGGTTGGGAACCTACCCAGAATAACACTTTTTTTTTTTTTTTTTTTTTTTTCATTCCTTGGATTGGCTGGCAAGAATCTCCCATCCAATGTTGTTTACGATACAGAGCTTGCATCTCTAGCTGTACATGGACAATGCAAATTAACCAAATGTAGATATAACAAATGGATCAATAGAACTTGTTAGCACAATATTGCTGTTTGCCTTTCACTATCTTGCAGTTTATTTAAAATACAGTAGGTCAGAGATGGTACACTAACACACAAGTTGTTTTCATGATGAATTATATATAAAAAAGAGTCAAACCTCCACTTTTTTTTTTTTCTGCTTCAGCTTTATTACCTCTGGAAGGGAGGAACATTGTTCTCTGTTTTTCTGTCTATGAATAGTCATGGCTTTTTTGGGGATGACTGTGAATTTGAGTTAGTATTGCTGGATATTATGATCCTGACTTGGAAGTAGAGTTGTCAGGTGAGTGCAGAGTCACTCTCGGTTAAGAGACCAGCGCTATTCACTTGGTCTTGAGACTTCAGAAAGCCAAAATCAAAACCAAATCCTACACCACTCTGAAGCTACATACTTCTAGCACAGTAAAATCTCACTAAGGAAAATGGCTGTCAGAGCGGTCTGCAGGCATGCAGAAAGGAAGATGTGCTGACAGTTTGCTTGCATCTGTCTCCTCCCTCTGCTGATCTACTGTGGTCTCTTTCTCAGGCTTTAAAAGAAATCAATGAAGTTGGGGACCTTTTGCAACTGAAATATTCCCGTCACCGTCTGGTACCTCTCCTGGACCGGCCATTTGACGAGACAACATATGAAGAAACAGAAGACTGAACTCCCTCCATGTGCCTTGGTGGGAGGGACACACCCCATGGGACACTCCATGGCACGCAGGCCGCAGCGTCACTTATGACTGCTTAGCATAAAAAGCATTTCCTCACAGTACTGAAGTGGCCACATCAGCTCTAAATGGCATTTTGTAAATAGGGAGAGGAGAAAAAAAAAAAGCTTTGATTCCTGTGTCTTTGGGGTCTGGCCCTAGAGGTGCTTGGCTTTATTTTTTCTTGTTGCTTTTTTTTATTTATTTGTCTCAGTGAGTTCACAGCAACCGGAGTTGGCTGTGGCTGATCAGCTCAGACTCTTTATGCACCATTAGCCTCCCAAATGCTGGCTGAGATGTTGTGAGCATGTGTGACGCTGGCATGGCAGCATTTCCAGTGTCACTACTAGGTGTCTGACCTTTCCAGTAAGGAGTGAGCTGACCTGTCTGTTCTTGGAGAATTCCTAGAGAAACTGTTGATTGCTAACTTTGACATATTTAACAAGACTGATAATCAACCAAAGCTTTTTTGTTCTTTCGCAGTAACTCGTGTTTAAAACTTGAATTTAGCTTTTTTAAAATAAATGTGTTGTTGACATGTCCCCAACAGGACCATTGTTCCCAAACATTATTTAGTTTTGTAAGCCACAGGCAGAAGGACTTCTGGGACTCTAGCCTCTTTTTCTTCCCAGTATGAATACCAGATTGTCTCCTGGTTTTGACATTAATGGTTCTCTTGATATAGGGTAAGTGATGGAGAGGGGTTTTGTTTATTTATTTTTTTTTTAAATGGGCTGTGCTTTGTCTTCCTTCTGACATACTTCTGTTTAAAAAAAAAAAAGTAAAAGGTGGGTTTAGTGTGTGTTGCTATCTCATCTTCAGGTTAATTTCTCTTGCTTTAGAATTATCGTAAAACCATGAACAAGTCACTGCTAAGTTCTAGAAGGGTGCTCTTGGGATTAAGTAAACCATAGCAAGCCTTGTGCTTCTTGTTAAGACCAGAACCCCTCGATAAGAAGGCCTATGCAATGGATGACTGTTAGGAGAACCACTTATTTCATGCAGATCTATGGAAGACTGCTATTCTGTGCCACGCTAATTCATTGTTTCTTGTCATATATGAGGTGTTCTTCATTGGCCTTCTTGCACAAGGCTTTTATGCAAAGTGTATAGAAAGCTTGGATCTTGTATCATACATTACATTTCATCTAGACAAGAAGGTCTCAGTTGGCAGCCGCATGTCTGTGTAGGCCTTCTGAAGAGAGAATGTCCTCACAATTTCATTTAGTTTGAGATCTTTATTCTTTTGCATTTCTGTTACTGTGAGATCAAATTAATGTTCACGGAGCCAGTTGCTGTTAGAAATCTTTATTTGCAAGTTCCACACTGTCTTACTCTGATCAAAGTTTAAAATAGACACCTTTGCTCTAGCACATCTTAAAGGTGGTTTGCCACCTCATCATTGCATCTTGAATTCTTTCAGTGAACAGAATGGATCATTGAAGACGTACCAAAAATTTTGTAACAGGAATCAGTTGCAGTATAGTTTGTTTCTGTATTTTATACCTTGGACATGTAGGGTTTCTGCAAAGATAGTCAAGCTTTAACATCATGTCAGTTGGGTTGGGCCAGCTCTTCAATTTGGATTAGTGTGATGCTTTTTGCAGGTGACTGGAGTTTTTTTAAACAGATTCTTCATTGTAATGCTAAAGCAGAGTGCAGCTCAGAGCTATTTGCCTGGTTCTGCAAAAAAATTAGTAATTTTTTAAAAGTTATTTTACGTTCACTTTGCAACTAATAGGGAAGGAGCACTTTGGTCACTAGAACCAAGCAGTTCTGCAAATACATCTGGTAATTTAAAGCAGAATTGGCTTCTATTTTATAGAATATCTATCTTAATGTGTTTGTAGATCTTGTTCCATTTTAATGTAACAGAACTTCAAAACAGTGATTCAGTTTCTTACCATTGCAATTCAGAAATTTATTTAGACGAGAAGAACTAAAATTAATTGTTTCAAAATAGGCCCAAATACTTGTTTTTCTCTTGGTCTGCTAATGCTGATTTGCTCATCTTCTGGAGCAAAGTGTGTGCACAGTCCAAGAAGTCTGTAACCTGTATGCGCAACTCTGATAGCTATGGAATAGTTTCATTTGTTCAGCCACAAAGTAAACTGCACTTCCATGAGCTTACTTTCTTGCCTGCATTCTGCCCAGGACTAGCTCTAACATTCCAGCAGATAACCTGCTTTCTGGCTTCAAGAAGCTTTACCTCAAAAAATTACTGCTTCTTTTTTTTTTCTTTTTTTTTTTTTTTTTTTTCTTTCTGGATTGTAGTAGGGAACAAGAGGAGGTTAGTGCAGGAAGCCCTGACTCCAGCCCTGGTCCTATTGACTTGATCATGGAACACTTTAAGATCGGACAAAAGCAAACAACTTGAAGGCATAGGCATGGGTCAACAGGGAGCTGTTTTGAGCATTCCCAGATGTACAGCATGCTTGTGTCTGCTGTGTAGTCAAGTCAGGTTCAAAACTGTGATGTATTAAGTTAGAAGTGGGTTATCCTAGGTTCTACAAGTCTTGAGTCTTTATCTTGTCTCTGGGATTCACTTTTAGGTTAGCTTTTCTTCAGAAGGGAGAAAAACGTCTGGATAAATATCAGTAATTCAGATAACTCCTCTATAACTCTTCTGAAATTGTCAGTGTTTTAAAATTACTGGTCCCCACTGGGATTCCAGTTGCGTTTGTTGCGGAAATTGTGTTCATGCTGAACTTCTGCCATTTAGTATCTTTCTGCTATGTCACGCTGTCTGCACATGACTTTGAATTCTGGGTTGCAAAGACATTTCAGAAATCATTCAGGCAGTTAGTAGCATTTGCAAACTGCTCGGTTACATTTCAGCCCTGCCATATCCTTTTGGGGAAGCAACCTTCCCCCCACCCCCGGAGGCCTTTTGTTCAAGGGAACCTGTTTTGCCAAAGTCTGGTACCTGTTGAAACGGCCTCTGAAAAAGTAACAAGTCCAAGATTTCGCACTTTTAAGTCAGTAATTGACTGAGCGTGAAAGCCAGGAAAATCTTTTCACATCTACTAAAAAACTCCACTCCCACAGCTGAAGGAGCAGACCGTTATGGGTTTGTACGAGGCAAGCCTACAGCACGTATACTGTCACAGTATGTGTAGGATGGATTGCTGCTTTGATATTTATGTACCGACAGAAATCTGTCTCCTTTTTGTCCTGGCAGCAGAAGTGAATGAAAGAACCAATCTTGAGAGATCACAAAGGAAGAAAAGCTGCTTAAGAAATAGACTTCAGTCCCTGCCAACTTTTCTGAGACATTTTAATTGAAAATGACTCCTGGTATTTCTTAAGAGATGCAAAATTCAAGAGAAAATGAAGGCTGCTTTTGAACAAAGGAGTTTGCCCTGTACTGTACATTGGCAAAACTTACTTATAAATATACAATAGTTGCCTTCCTAGTACCTCTTTGAAGAACTTAGCAAGCAAGATTTTGCCTCTGCTGAGTGGAGCGAAGAGTTTAGAACCATTATAGTTTTCAAGGCTGATGGCCGTATTCTTTTACTCTTAAGAAAACTGAGAAGCTCCTATTACCGAGCATCAGCAAAGAGTGAGAGATCTGCTTCTTGTTAGAAACTGGCCTTCCCAAGCAGACCTTTGTCTTAAGGAGCCTGATTCATAATTTTTCTTTAGTTCTTTGGCAAAGAAGAAACCAAGGTTTTTTGTGTCAAAATATTCAGGGCTTTTTTCTTTTTTTTATTAATACAAAACACAAACTTTTGTATATTATCTGTGTATATGGTATGTTTAACTCTTTGTTTAGTGTCTGTATTTTTTTTTCCCCTTCTAAGTAGCATCCTTAAAGAGCCGTTCTGGTTCTTGGGTTACTGATGTAGCACACTTCTGCTTTAGACTTGGGAGTGAATTGACCGAACATCTTACCGTAATGAAGTCGTTCAGTGAAGGAATTGCTTCATCCATCCTCCTTCTTGCTGTTTCCTCTAAGAGTGCAGAGGTGGTACCCACTGTCAGAGCTGCGCCTTCACACAGTGCAGGAAAGGGAAGTGTGCCCATGAAATCAGTGACCCAGTCCTGTGCTGTGTGGGTGAAGGACTGATACAGCAGAGGTGGAGAAAAGGGGCAGAGTTTCATCGTTTATTCTCAGTGGTGCAGGGATCCTTCACGTGCAGCTGAACAAGCGTCCCTAAGACAGGAATCCAACTTTCAGTGCTCAAAGCTAAAACCTTTCCACACCAAGTAAATACTTCCTCTCCTGTGCAAATTTTAATTTCTTTATGTCCAACAAGTATTTGGCTTACAGCTGTTTGCTCATCCAGAAGCCATGTTATCCATTCAGGCAGATCATAGGAAAGGTTGGAGGAAAGCTGTGAGCGTGAGCTCTCCATTCTCCAAGAGAACACCTTGCAGCTTTGGATCCGGAGCGCTATGCATGAGCTCCCTTGCTGCATCCCTGAGAAGGAAACTTACCCCAATATACAATGCTCAGTCAACATTTATACAGTTTATATGTACAGTTTATATGTATTATTTTTACAGTTTATACTTAGCACGCTTGAGACTTTCACAGTCTGGGATCTGTGTGGGTGTTACCTTCTGCACAGGGATCCGAGGTACCTGCAGTCTGTTCTGTTTTAGCACTAGCGAAGCACTGAGCTGTCTGGGAACACCTAGCACGACCCCCCCCAGCAGCTGCATCCCTGGCTTTGGCGCTGGACCTGGCACCCAAGTGGCATTGGACCACTGTTCGGGAAACGCTCTTATCACTGGACCTGTGTATCCTGAACGTGGTTTTCAAAGAAAGAAAGAAAAAAAAGAAAAAAGAAAAAAAAAAAACCACCCCACAACTCAGATGCTGTTGTGATGCCTTGTATTCCTGTAAACATCCCCAGCCTTGCAGTCGTTCACCTGTTTAAAGGTTTGGGTGAGAAGTTAGAGCACAACCATTAAGTGTTTGTGTGAAGGATTGTGCTTTATCTCTCACTAAGAAGAGAAGCATTTGGTGCAGACATTGGAGCTGTAATGTTTACATCCCCAAAAGGGGCTGGGTGAAGTTGATGATGACTGTGGTGTGTGGTGAAGGCCTTACACTGTGACTCTTGGTATGAAGAATTGAAATTAAAACTGAAGAATGCAGTGGATTTTAACCCGTGGAAGAATACTCTGGGCTCTAAGTTAAGCAATTATGTATTGCTGTTTTCTTGGGAAAGAGGGAGAAGTTTGATTCAATTTGTGTTTGACCCTGGCTAGCACCTGTTTAAGGAACAGGAGATGTGTCTGTATATGAAGGCCAAAAATAGTGCGGTTCTCTGCACCCATGTTCCTTTGTAGCAAGCAGCGGTAACTTGTTCCTGGGCTGCTGAAAGCGGGAAAATTATCAAGAAGGTCAGGGACTTCAGAAGCGGTGGCAGCTAGCAAATTAATTTCCTCAACAGTAGGTGAACAGGTCTCACATGAATATGCCAAGGGTTGGTGCTGTTCCAAAAATACCCATGGCAAAGTGAAACATGCACCAACCCATCTGACTGCTGTAAAGCTTTTTTTTTTTTTTCTTTTGCCAAATCTCATCCTGTTCAGACAGTATTTCTGCTACCCCCTAACGGTATATTAGGCTAAATGCACCTCCAGCTTTCCAATGTTATTAACTTCAGACGGTTTGAGAGAGATCAGAGTAACGTTGGAGCCTGAGGCTTTAGGCTAGCAGCCCCAAAGCCAATGGTGGCCCACATTTCCACATGCCCTGGGCAGAATTACCAAGTCACAGCACTTTGTCTTAAATTGCACTGTATTCTTATGCCTCTGTGTTGCTATAATGTACATATATATTGGGATTTTTTTGTAGATAAGACATTTTAGATAAAATTTTTAAATGGGCTCCCCCCAAAATATTTTATGCCAGATGTCTAATTTTTTTTACACTCAGGATTAACATGAAGTTGGATGCTCTGTGGGCAGGGAAAAGGTAAATGGATGGTACATTGGCTTTAAAAAGGTAACAATGCATGTTAAAAAAAAAAAACAAAAACAAAACAAAACACTGGAGAAAAAAATGCTTGGGAAAAAAATCCATTCAAATATATTCTATGTTCTGCATAATAAAGACTTTAAAAAAAATGCTATATTGTGATTTGTTTTTTTTCTTAATGGTAATGAGGCTCTTCCCCTGTTAAGGAGACCATGCCCTCTTCCCCTTCCTTCCCAATCCCTCTAACACCACCACCCCCAAAAAAAAAACCCAAAACACGAGTTTCATACTGGAATGGCTGGGTAAAGCCACAGCCTGGTTGAGAGCTCGGCTGGATCAGTGTCCCCCTCTAGCTTTGGACTCCAGAGCCAGGAAACCTTGCCTGGGAGCTGGATGCTTAGCTGTCTCGCATCAGTCTCGGGTCCATGGTACCGCAATAGCCCCGACGTGCAGTCCCGAGAAGCTGCTTCTGTTGGGGAGAGAGAGGGCTGCAGCGGTCACCGCAGTTCCCGGCAGGCAGCTCTCCTGCGCCTGCCCGCCCTGGCCTCTGCGCTGGCCACCTCACGCTGGCTCCCCTCCATGTCAGGCTGCTGCCCTGGGGTGCTGTTGGAGGGTCGGGCTGCTGTCAGCTGTCGTGCGGCTAATGAGATGTTTGAAAGGGCTTCTTGATCCACCTCGCATGGGATTCTTGACCTCACATCTGTCTTGCAGTCTGTGCCTTGTTTTAAACGTTTCCTTCCATTCATCTCAGCCCTAAGTTTGCATAAACCAGATGTCAATGTTTGAAAAGGAGGTGTGGGTCCTGTTTTCAGCTGTGGGTGCACAAATGGGCCCAGGTGCTTTGCAGGGTTGTGCTAAGGCTGCTGTAGGAATGTTGGACTTTGTTTTTCCCTGCTAAGTGTCTATGCCAGCACTGGCACTTTTCCTCAGTGGGCTGCAAAACCTTTCG